GGTCCTTCGCTAACCCATCGATGAAGACACCAACATATACTCCGCACACTACTATATTTATTCTACTTACCCACCCAGGTGGTTTGAGTTATGCATCATCAGGCTCAGCCCTGAGGCCTGCGTAATGAAGTCCAAGCCATTCCTCCCTCCAACCAGAAGAAAAATGTATGTAGTACGTTGCCTTTCTTCCTGCAGGTCTGACAAACGGTAAAACGCCTCTGCTACTTAAGGCACTTGGAGGAATTAATGAAAACAAGAGTCATAGTAGGGAGAGCTATGCTGCGTGGACACAAAGAGCGTGAGGAGGCTGTGAGGAACGAGGGATGAAGGCCGAAAGAAACGACAAAGAGGAGACCGGATATTAAAAAAGAGTACATATTAACGAACGGTATGAGAAAAAAAAAATCAAAAGATATGCCAACCAATCACTTCTTCCGAGCAGCACACACGGCCAAGGCTGTCTGTCTATGGAGAAGCTCCAGCGCCCGTACTTGATTGTCTCTTTGTTAGCGAGCACGCCATCCTCCAAAACATCCAAGGTTTATCAAGGTGTATTGGTGTAAAATTGGTAGTATCCCATTTGATCCTCGCATCCCGTTTATCAGGCCCCCCTATTTTGTACTGCTGACTTACTAGTCCACAATAATGGGAACATCCGAAGGAAAACTTGTTAGGTCTGTTGCTCATGCTGAAATTCAAAAGGACCTGAAGCAAAAAGCCCTTTTCAAAAAATCCAAGTCTGCTGTGTAAGCCAAGCAAGCAATAAATGGAAAGCTATTGGATTGAATCGATCCAGGCCCGTTGCTCCAACAAATGGTCTGAGCTAAAATCCGTCGAAAAGAGGAAGTATCAGGGGAAAAAAAATTGGAATGAAAAGAAAAAATTATGAATGGGATACCCACCGGAGCATGGAATTATGTGAAGCAAACGACAACGGAATTAGTCTCCAAGGAAAAGATATCTTCCTTCGAAGTGCCGCAATTTCAAAGTCACACATTGATAGAAAACAACTTCCGGAAACGTAAGTTTGCACGCATGGACAGAATACCTTTTTCTTGCACTAAGAGGCGGAATACCTGAAGACAAAAATGACACCAAGTCAGCAACTCAAGTCTCCACAGTCCTAATGTCCAATGGATCCCTTATTATTTGATATGGGCATGGTAAAAAGGGCTTTAGGACATGTCATATACCTATTAAACCTGATAAATCGTCCGCCTTGGGCAACTTTGTTGTGACCTCCATTGCGAGACATGAGACATTTCGGTTCCGCATCGGTAGAGTTCATTGAAGCAAGGGCCTATGCGTGTCAGTTGCAGTGTTCGTTTGGCAAATACGGTTTCCACATCGATCTGGCGCTTACAAAAGAGTCTGTATTGTGTGCAAAGTAAAAGGCAATCCCGTCCCTGGTAACTTTAACTGTCATCACCCCAATCGCAGCATGGCAGTGGCTACTTTTAACACCCGGATGACCTAGAAAGACTTAGGTCAATATAGCCATGGCAGGAATGGTCGCTACCGAGAAGTTTCAGGGGTAGAATAGTAACAAATCAGATACTGTACCCATAAAATCTACGTCGATCACGGCTTCCAGTGCCTCGTCTTCATTCACGGTCTCAAAAACGCCTGGCTGTCCTGCGACTTTCCGGGTGCTTGAATATATCCGCTCTGCGCAAACGTTGGAGGCCATCGTTGTAGCCATATGCTCACCGGTGCCGCTTGTCACAGCCGCAACGCATGTTCTTGCTTCGTCTTTGGGATCAACTGGGATAACGGCAGTTCCAACGCCCACGAGAGCTGCTGGGCCAGTGCGTCCGCTATGTTTCATGCCAATACCACCAGAAGAAGAACCTGCTGCAATGTTTCCATGGCAATCCACAGCGATAGCCCCAACAGTGTCAATAATGTTATCATCTGAACCCATTATGTAGCCATGCTGAGGAGATTCCTCAGCCGGGTCCCTTTGGGGTTGATCTCCGACATGTTCAGGCGGGATAGCCTTTCCTGCATATCCAAAAGAGGTCGATGTGGATGTGCCTGACTCTAAAGGCAACCTGGTCCGCTTCCGCTTTCGGAGTTCCGCGGGGTGGGAGGAGCCATCAGTTCCACCTTGGGATTCCGCAACACCTTCTGCATTGTTGAGATCAAGGCCTAAACACCCGGTATTGATATGTTCTTCGTACTCTCGTTCACTTGCATCAGGTAGATGTGCATGAGGTCGAATAACGGTGTCTGGAGACGCCACGCCATCGGGTCCATCAGACCCTGACGGAGGGTTTGTAGGGTTTGTCGAACGCCACCATGACCTTGAAGTAATACCACGACCGGGGCTAGAAAAACGAGACCTAGTTGACGAAGTGTGCCCGGGGTGCTGATATTGTGCGCTCTTTGGCGCCTCTTCTTGGTTTTCCTCTGCCTCGACTTGGGCTAAATCCCGTTTCCACCGCAGCCACCGTTCGCGAGATCCTCCGGAAACGAGGAAGTCAGCATGGAGGACTGGCATTCCATTTTCATATGCAAATTCTGTTGCCCCTGGGCCAACTAGAAGATTTGGTGGCACTCTGTTCAAAGACAAAGGTTTGGTCGAAACATCTAAAACAAGACGCGCAAGGGAAATGGGGTTTTTGATATCTACGAGGGGGAATTCATTAGTTATGATGGTATCAGTCAAGGGACCCTCTACACGCACGTTCCACAGCACCCACAGCGCCACTTCGGCCCAAATGGTCCACAATGGTCGCGTCGCACTCCACAGTGCCATGAACAGAGAGATTGCTGCCATAACCTGCATTTGTGATTTCATGGTCCTCCAAAAATTTGACGGCGACTTCGACGGCGTCCACAGCGCGTCCTCCGGCTCTCAGCACAGCCATTCCGAGCGTTGCGGCCCTGATCGCAAGGTCAGTTTTAGAAAATGCAACGCGATAGGAAATAAAATTCTGAGTAAAATGAAGGCTTACTGATTGCACACCCAAAGATGGGTTGACTCAGCTTGGTAGCTGTGGAATCCCGCGCCAGCATGGATAAAAATCGCGGACACATTCTGAGGATGTGCCTCTTTCGAATGAGAAAAAACCATGGTGTTTTAGAATCGCGTTTCTTCAGAACTGGAACCAGAAGTGAAAGGTAAGATAATTTTCACGTCATAGAAGCCCGCGACTAATGAGTGAAATGAAATCTTGGGCGAAGTTAGGTGAGCAGATGGTCTGTTCTGAAGTGCCAATCCTGAGATTCACACTGGATGTTCTGGAGCAAACAGCTCCAGTCAGCAATGGTTGTGGGAGGGAGTCAAGAGAGATCTGGGCCCTTTGTACATTAATTCACCAGCAAGTGCAATGGATCAAATCAATGAACACTGGCTGAGCATCATAAAGAGGTGTCAAGCCCTTCAAGTGAGTAAGTAGATTGGCTGAGTTGCTATGGAGGCGACCAAGCCTAGCCTCATGAGACACTTAGCAGTGACTCCTGGGAAAAAAGAATGAATCGAAACGATAAGGAGAATATAGGTTTGCTCTTAGGTAAAAGGCATAGGGAAGACTAATACCCCCAGATGACAATTGTAGGATAAATAAGAGTGAACGGGAATAATAGTTGGAGGCAACCATAGAAGGAGAATGGGAGAGAAATGGCCCAAGGAAGACATCAGCGACGAAATATATATACAACCCAAGCCCTGCAGAAGGAGACACACGCATCAGCGCCCTCAGAGAAGCCGCAGCCTGGCATTAGCTGCTGGCCGCGGGTGATATTTATTATTGTCTACCGTCCGGATGCCGTTTCCCATCCCAGATGAAAAGGGGGGAAAGAGAGATAGATATCAGGCTGGGAAACTCGAGTATACTATGAATGGAATGAAAATGCAGAAATCAACGGAACCCCCTTGAGTTATAGAGGTAATAAAGTTATCCACGAGAATAGCTATCGAATACTTGGAGTAAACATCATCTTTCTATCTGCTTTTCTTCCTTTTTCTCTATATCAGACTAGTATTTTCATATTAATTGGTCCACGGGTAGCTGGTGCATTGCCACGTGACTGCGCTCTTATCGCCCGTGACATCGATGGAGCCTCCAGAACGACAACGACATCGACGAGGTAATACCAACAAGCTCCTGAAATCTCCCCTTCTCTCCGCCATGCTTGGGTATGCCATTGCCTGGCGCTTGTAACTTGTGTCTGTGCCATAATTACCTTCGATCCAAAAGGCTGCGAGGCCCCTTAAGAATTGCAACCTGACCTCCGCTGCTGTTCTCAACCCCCACCTCATTCGCAATGGCAGCTCAAACCCCCGCCGTTGTCATGGACAAGTATGTTACCGTTGCGCGATGTAGCCCTTTCTGCTTCTGTTGCTAATAATATTCTACTTCCTTCAGCGGCACCGGATTCTCGAAACTCGGTGGGTGCAATTCAAATTGCGCGGTCCTCTCCCCGCCAACCTCCAAATTTAAACTGACAGCATTTGGTTTTTCTAAGGGTTCGCCGGCAATGATTCTCCTTCTTTTGTTTTCCCCACAGCGATTGCTACAAAGTCTGCGGGTAGTGTAGGAGGCGGAACAGGTTCCGGTCGGCCTGCAGTCGCCAACAAGCCATCATTCCTCACTGGTGGTGCTGGTCCCGGCTCACAGCTATCGGGAAAGCGGGGGACGGAAGATTTGGATTTCTTTATCGGAGACGAAGCTATTAATGCGTCGGGTGGCCCCGGATATGGTATCAACTATCCAATTCGCCATGGCCAAATTGAGAACTGGGATCACATGGAACGGTTCTGGTCGAATTCCATATTCAAATATCTCAGAGTTGAGCCTGAAGACCACTATTTCCTTCTCACGGAACCTGTATTTAGTCCCCCTTTCTTACCCCACCCCCTTCCAGATGTGCGTACGGTCTACATTCTGACAGATTTTATTAGCCATTGAACCCGCCTGAAAACCGAGAAAATACTGCGGAGATCTTCTTCGAGTCGTTCAACTGCGCCGGTCTCTACATCGCTGTTCAGGCTGTCCTAGCCCTTGCAGCCTCGTGGACGTCTTCCAAAGTGACGGATCGCTCTCTCACCGGTACCGTAATCGACTCTGGCGATGGTGTCACCCATGTAATCCCTGTGGCGGAGGGATATGTTATTGGGTCCTCTATCAAAAGTATACCCATTGCTGGGCGAGACATTACGCATTTTGTTCAAAACCTGCTTAGAGAGCGACAAGAAGCAGACAGCTCAATGAAGACAGCCGAAAAAGTGAAGGAGGAATATTGTTACGTATGCCCGGATATCGTGAAGGAATTTGCCCGCTACGACCGAGAACCCGACCGATTCTTGAAACACACCGTAACATCGCCCAATGGCCGAAGTGTCACCATCGACATTGGATACGAGCGTTTTCTGGCTCCAGAAATCTTCTTCAACCCAGAAATATACTCGTCAGATTTCCTTACCCCCCTCCCCACTGTCGTAGATGGCGTTATCCAATCCTCTCCTATCGATGTTCGCCGGGGTCTGTATAAGAATATCGTCCTTTCCGGAGGTTCGACATTATACAAGGATTTTGGCCGACGTTTGCAGCGTGATATTAAGCACCTGGTTGATGCCCGAATTCGCACATCGGAAGCTAGGAGTGGCGGAGCTCGCAGTGGTGGCCTTGAGGTTCAAGTTATCACCCATAAACGGCAACGGCATGGCCCGTGGTTCGGAGGAAGCTTGCTGGGCCAGACACCGGAATTCCGCAGCTACTGTCACACCAAGGTCAGTTTGTCCATCAACATCAAAATATTAGCTTACGAACTAACCTGTTTTCTTTGATCCCCCTTCAGGCTGAATACGACGAAATTGGACCAAGCATTGTCAGAAGATTTGCTTTGCTCGGTGGACCAGGAAGCACCTAGATACTTCCACCTTAAGCATATCTGTTTATTAATGTATATCGTTCGCGTGTTCCTGGCCTCTCTCTTCGCGCCACACTACCTTAAATGTTCGTTTTGATTTGTTCATCTATTTTATCGTTTTACATTTAATTTTATCTCTCGCCTTGCGTCCGGCTTAGAGCTGGATAACAACAGCAAAAGTTTAAAATGAATGATCCCAAGGAGAATATAGAATCTACACGCAGTCCTTCCCCACCCTATTCTTGCTTTCTCAGGCCGGTGAATTTGGGGGATTAAGATCCGCGACAACAATGATACTTGACATTGTTTATACGCCATGGAATAACGCCCTAATGGCCTCTGTATCCTAACAAAAATGGAAACTATCTCTCTCTATATATAGGTTTCCGTAATACACACCAAGAATCCGATTCCCAATACCAAAATTAAAATATACTCAATATTGTGTTGTACAGAACTGTCTATTAGCCGGGCAATATTCCACCAGTGTGCAGCAAAAGGGCACATGTACCAATGTAATTACTATCCAAAGCTGCATCAAGAACTTCCCGGAGAATCCCTACCACTCGAAAGCTCATCCTCAAGAAGGATACAGTCCTCCAATTATATTTGTGGATTCAGCATATACGAATTCCATACCATAATAACATCTGCCAGCCGTAAACAAAGAAAGTGCGGAAGGCATCTACCAAACAGCAACAGACAGATAAGCATACAAAAAACAGGCTCTCAGATAGATAGTAATCCAGTGGCGGCAAAGGATTACTGGTAAGCACAATCACGCTACCGCAATCCCTATCTTGCTATATTTTTCACCATTCTCAATATCATCGATGGTCACAGTGCTATTGAACGAGCCCCTCTCACCACCAGTCGCAATACAAAAAGTTAAATTAGGTTTCAAACCGATCTATTGCCCTAGTGACATGTATTTGCCCATTTTTTCCCCTGGTAACAGCAGCAGCCCCGTGTTTGCCATCTTCAGGACCGAATTTATCGAAGAGGCTGTTGGAGAGGTCAAAAGGGCCATCAATTATCGATACCTCGTCGCGAAGTTTGCAATGGCGGAGACAAGTTTTAGATTCATCTGCGGTTGGGAACATGTCGCTGCCCCATTCGTGGTGGAGGGCATACCATTATGAAAAAAAACGCTAGCAGGAATGGAGTTTAAAGCAAGGATAAGAATAAGAAATTAGGGAATTCCCCAAGTCCACAAGGATTTGGGATATAGGATATTGGGACATGCGTGGATATAAGACCATGACCATGTTCAGCGCCGTGGCCAGGGCGGGATCGTGATCACAAGCTCATATCTTGTTAGTGGCATTGATTAAGACGCAAAAGTTAACTTGATAGTAAATTGTGAAGTTTTACGGAGTTCTCTGTGCTGCGTACAGTCCAGTGTTGTAATAACCTGTACTTCGCCTTTTTGCGCTGGAATCACAGCTGCATTCACCCATAATAGAGCCTGGTAATAGAGCCTAGTCATTTGGACCGACGATGTTATTCACAAGCTATTGGGAATATCAAACTCTGGTTGGAATTTGATTGTGGAAGGGACACTTCGCCTGAAGCTGCTGGAGTGGTAACGCGGTTTCCCAGACATAAGGGCTAACTTGCACCACGTCTGGGATGTTGTCAATGAATATTAATACCCTGTTCTTTTAACTTCAATTGAAGATTGCGAGATCTCTTGACTTCAGATGCGAAGCCTTAATACTATATTACAGCTGTCTGCTTATTCTGCTGTGACGCTGTCAAGAAGGACGGAACTATCTCGTCCTGACATTAGAGATTGCACGGCTATTCAACCGCTGCTATAATTGTACCCTTTGGTCTCGGAACAACCTTATTGAGAATTGCCACACCCTCCACATGCCCCGTTTGCGGGAAGAAATCAAATCCTTTAATGCTCTCAATTTCATACCTCACTTCTTCCCCTTTGAAGTTTCCTCCCTGAACTAGTACGCCGACATCTCGTGCTTGGGTGTGCACATTGCAGCTTACATACACGACCTTCGCGGGTCCGTAAGATAGCAGCTGCTGTAAAAAGTTGTTATCGCAGCCCTTTCGCGGTGGGTCAATGACAAGAAGCGTCTTATCAGGTGGATAAGGAACGTCCTTGAAAATGGCGGCTGCGTCAGCCGCTGCGAAACCAGTATTGGCAAGTTTGTTGGCACGGGCATTTCTACGGGCTGCCTCGATAGAATCAGCGGAGATGTCGATACCGAGGGACGAGAGAAATATGGGAGAGAGTGTGACGGTGAAGAGACCAGAACCAGAATATGCATCTAGGAGGTATTTTAATTTAGAGGTGCGCTGCGTCGCAGAAGATGATGATGGAGAGGAAGACGAAGTTGAAGGCGGGAGAAGGGCATTTTCGCGGATATATTGGGTGAAGGGAGCTAGGATAGAGTTGTTGTTTTGGAAGAATTGGCCGGCCTTGTTCTGGAACTTGTAGTTGTCGACGTACTCAATTGACGTTGAGTTTTGGTCCGTGATGCAGCGCTTTTCTTCGATGTAGTCTGGATGTTCCCTTCGGATTACAGGCTCATCGTGCACCGGTTGCCTTTCTTCAGAGGACGCTCGTTCCGTGCCGTTTGGTGACCGCCGGCCGGGATCTTTGTAGTATCGTGTAGTACTTTCTCTTAATAAGAGAGTGGCGCCTTTGCTATAAGTATGCAGGCTCTTGGCCACTCTCTTGCGCTCACGTTTCATCCCCAGTCTAACAATATCTGTTCCCAAAGGACAGTCCTCGATATCGATAACAGTTCGTCTACCCTTAAGCATGAATCCAATAGGCGGGATCTCCGACTCCTCTCCGTCCGCACTGCCACGTTGGATCCGAGTCGGCATGGGGAAATGGGGTGTCAGTTTTGTTCGATAGCCGTATTGCAATGGCGAAGCCATGGTATCACGAATTGCAGGAATTAATTCAGGTAGCAACCCCGAAAAATTGGCGTATGCCTTTTCTAGGATTTTCCTCTTGTGCTTCAACTGGTCCTCGTAGGGAAGCATCTGGAGTTGGCATCCTCCACACTTGGCGAAGTACTTGCATTTAATAAGGGAGTCATCGCGCTGGGGGGACGGCGTGATAACTTCAAGTAGATCTGTCACGCTGTAAGACTCCTCGTGCATTGTCTTCACAACCTTAACTCGAGCCCTATCTCCCGCAACCGTAAATGGTACGACGTAGACATGGTCGAATAAAGGAGAAAGCGCCAGGCCATCTCCCGTGGAGGATATCTCGTATACAGTAACTTCAGTTTCTGGGAAACTCTCGCTTTTGTGCTTGTGTGTAACTGTTGGTACTTTTTCCAGGTTATCCTTCTTTGCTTGCTCTGCGTCTTCAGCATGTTTCCTCAGCAGCGCCTCCACATCCAACAGCAGCACCTGTTCTGTATCGCATTCCTTAATATCCTTTGAAACCTTCTTCTTTTTGTGCTGCGGACCTCCTCGTGGATTTGCCCTTCTGTATGGGTTTTGGGGCATTCTATTCACCTCTTGCTGCCACCCGTGAAATGGTCTGGAGGAGATAAAACGTTGGCTTCGGGATATATGTAGACTGAAGATTTCAAAACCGGATCGCGCAGAGAATAACAGCGCCCTAGCAGCCGATTTAAACATAGGTGGGCAAGGGGAAAGCACGTTAATACATATAGACATGCATAGTTGCATTTACTGCGTATATTTACTCCTAATATTTTTTTTTCTCTTGGGAACTTTCCTTCGACCAATCAACTTTCTCCACCAAAAACCAAGAAAAAAAAAGTGGTAGGAAAAACCACAGCATCAAATCAACAAACTAGGCGAGTCAACGGGTTCGCCCACATCTACCACGACGTTCTCTCTCCTCAATTGATCTTCGCCAGTGAGGCCAGTATTGGCCTCACCAGCTGCTCCCGTCACCATGAGTCTCGCACGCCCGGCCCGTTGTCTCTTCTGCTCCCTATCCCGGGCTCCGCTATCTTCGATCTCGCGTCGACAATTCCACCAGTCACTTTCTCAATATACGAAGAATGAGAAGAATGATGTAAAAAATGAGGAGAAAAATCCACGTTCCGTTAAGCCCCCTCGGAAACTCAAGCCAAAAATGTTCAAACCGTACTCGGAGGAAGACAGGAAACGCCTTGCGGAGGAGTACACACCGGAACAGATTGCCGCAATTGAAGCGGGTGAAAAGAGCATCAGCCCCGAAGATATAGCTCAACAATTTCACCAGAGAGATGACCAGTGGGCACTCAAGTACCTAGATGACTTCTCCACCGTTGAACCTGTCGTCGACCACCATATCCGCCGCCCAATGACCAAGAGTGTCCCGATCCCACGCATGAAAACGGAGCAGGAATTGATGACAGAGGTTGCCAACTATCTCGAACAGATGTCTGAGGAGGATGCCGAAAACAATCCCGAAAAAATCTTTGAGTTCATGGATGAGATGAACCTTGTGAAGGATCCCGTCGACGAAGCCTCCTCGTTGGTTCCCGATATTACCCAGCCGTACGAAACAATAGATAACATAGGCGGAGGTCCAAATCTCCAACTTAGGAAAGAAGATCTAAAACGACAAGCACAGGATCCAAATATTTTAGAGGCTGAAGATCCTGAAATCCAACTGGATTACGAGAAAGTTTCCCGTGCGACTGGTTGGCCCGTACGCACACTCAAGGGCTTACAGGTTAAAGCTTTGGTAAAGAGAATGGTTTCCAACCAAACCCGTCTAGGTAAAATCCGCCAGACTTCGATTCTTTCAGTTGCAGGAAACGGCAAGGGCCTGTTGGGTATCGGGGAAGGCAAATCTCGCGACTTTGGAGAAGCGTTGATGCAGGCGCATGCTCGAGCTATTCGAAATATGCGACCCGTTCTGAGATATGAGGATAGAACCATCTACGGAGATGTACGGGGGAAAGTAGGCGCTACAGAATTACAATTGATGCATCGGCCACCAGGTATAGACAATTATGCCCCCCAACGTAACTAATTGCAATCTAGTCACGCTAACTGTATCCCCTCCCTCCCCAAGGTTTCGGTCTCCGTTGCCAACAAAGTATCTGGGAGATGTGCCGTGCAGCGGGAATTCGCGATTTGGCCGCCAGGGTCACGCGATCCCGCAACAAGATGAACACAGTCAAAGCCACGTACGAGGCGTTGATGAGCCAAAAGGATCCTGAAGATATAGCCCGCGCCCGAGGCAGAAAGCTGGTCGACGTGAGAAAGGTATATTATGCTGGAGCTCAGTAAAATTGATGTTCGGCAGCGCACTTTTTTGTTGTATTTTCTCCTACACCTCCTCCCTTGCATTTCACTGGTTTGAACCAACCTTCCAATTTATCTGTACAACTTCTGCTTGCCATACATTGGATAGCGAAACATTGTCTTGATAGAAAGCGTTACGGGATATGTTTTTGCTTTACCCTACCTAACTGCTTATTTGCCTAAGTTCTTGCCTGTATACTACCATCTTCCCCTATTTTACAATTATGGCATATACTATATAAATTTCCGTGTTTTTTGATATAAGATATGGTGTTTCTGTTTCACTCACCTGCCTCATTGTCGTGCATCGACGGTCAAAGGCACAATAAATAACATTGAATACCAAACTCTGCATATGTCCTGGCTAAATAGCAAACGTAAATAGAAAATATAAAGCCACGCATTCGAACTCCATTCGTCTTAGTTGCCCATATCCTAAATCCACGTCCTGTGGATAGAAAAAAACCCGCAAAAAGACGAAGCTGACAACACCATCTATCCAACCACCCAGCTAGCCAGCTAGCGACGCGGCCATTGCCTCAATGCATATCATTCACGTACATGAACAGCTTATTTACCCCGTCCCCTCCAATTAATCCCCTTCGCTATACCCACTATAACGCCCCTCCTCGCCATAATGGTGATGCTGCTGCTGCTGCTGCTGCTGCTGCTGCTGCTCATGACCAAGCTCGGGCTCATGCCCTTCCCCGCTACCTCCCACCCCATCCTCCCCATTGTAAATCTGCTGCTGCAACACAATACTATATACACTCGCCTTGAGCAGCGTGCACACCGTTGCCGTTTTTCGTTCTAGGAGGCGTAGGGCATCGAGCGTCTCCGCAGCGGGGCAGATAGAGAGGTGAGAGAGGGAGTCAGAGAGCTATAAAAAATGAGGTTGTTAGCTGATTTTCTTGCTTTAAAAATTAAATCAATAAAAATAAATCGCTTTTAAATTCAGCTTCAACCGTCTCAAATGAACCCGTGGCGAAATGCAATGGATAGGAATGTATAACAACCTTATTCATATTCCCCAATAACCTCGCATACTCATTTAGTACTTCTTGTTCCAGCGGGGAAAGGAGGGGGTTTTCGCGGAGGAGGGGATTGGTCGTCGGGTCAGTTGAGGTCCCTGTTGCGATGTTTGCGGCGACGCCATTGTTATTATCTTGGGCGGTTAGGCCGATCTCTGCGTCTGTGTCGATATCAATGTCGAGATTATGGTGGTTGGCGGAGGAAGATAGGGGACGCGATGAGAGGGAGGATGCCGGGCGGGGCATTTTTCTTTCTTTCTTTCTTTCTTTTTTTTTTTTCTTTTTTCGTTTCTGTTTTTCGTTCCCCTTGCCTTGTCTCCTTGCTTTTTTTCCCTTTTTTGGTTGAAGGGTGGGTATTAGATGCGAAAGCTTAGGAGAGATCAGAACGCGTGGTGATGGATTTCGCAGTAGAACTGTATGAGTTCAAATGGTGAATCAACGAATGGAATGACGCTGAGAAAGTTGCCGGCGAGTACGGTAGTGCAAATAAATATTATTTGACCACCGTGCCTGCAGTTGTACTATGGATATGTTGGTTGATATTAGTTTGGAGTGATTAAAATCTACGCTGCACAAGTGAGAGCCTTTTTGGAATTCCTTCCAAGAACTACTCCAACAATGAGGTAGTTAGTTATAACTAAGGGTAGTAGTTAGTTACTAATCCTATAAAACTACTTACTAAACAAAGAAGAAAAAGGCTATGGAAATAAATGAAATAATGCTGAAACTAAAATATATAAAAAAATTATCTAAATAGACGTGATATGAGTAGACATAACTCAGACAGCGGGACACTACGCAGTATGTAAAAAAGTACCCGTGCTCGCAAAACCAATGGTACTCAAATCACTCTCCATCTCCTTGTCATCTCTCTGTGTCTTGTACGACCTACGCGCACAAGTACGACAATGTGGGAATGGAGCATCGAACCGCTTATTCCCCAAGAATATCACAAGCTGAACGGATCAAAGGAAAAAATACAGGTGGACAAGAAAAAGCCACTAGCGCAGTGTAGCTAGAACCGGCAATCGTCATAAGGAAATATTTTGGCCGCGGAAGAGGTGGCGAAGTGCTACTTTTTCTCTCTCATCCTTCTTCTTTTATCGGGGTTGTTGGGGGAGGGGGCAGATGCAATCCCGAAAGAATATTCAAAGCCAATCCTCCGAGAGGGAGCAAAATAGGGTTAATGTGGATACTACCGTATGGCGCTCGGGAAGATCGTCAGCGTCCCTGGTGAATATAATGAGTCCTTTAGCCATAAGTACTATCATCGTTATCTGTGGGCCGTCAGTTCAGGAGGCCAATTGGAATTTGATGGATGGATTTGAGAGAGAAATAACTGATGTGGGAAGTAGGAAATGTAGATAGGAAAATGGGCAAGAGAGGGAGCATTGCAAAACGCTCAACACGAGGCAGAGAGCAGTCAGCTTCCATGATCCCCTTCATAGCTCAACGGTTTGTTCATTTTTCCTTCGTCCTCTCCTGCAGTGCAAGCAGGCGGGGAACGTGGCAGAGGGAGGGAGAGGTTGGGTAGTGGAAAGGGTAGGCGTTCCATACGGAATGAGGTTCCTCCTCTCGAAAGCGGATTTGTGCAACAAATGAGATGCAACGAGTCAACAAGCAGAAACGAAAAACGGAAGAAAACAGAGGTAGGGAGCCAGAACCCTACACATATGAATAATATCGCCAAAACGGTTTAAAAAGAAAAACAGATGGGTCTGGAAATAAAGTATACAGCAAACAGGCAAAAGAAGAGGGATAAAAAAGTACCCTTGAAGACCAAGGGGAGCAAATACACTCCGAACACCCTAGTATGAATTCTTTGGCTTGAGAAAAGAGGAATAGTAAAAATAACAACACATCAAAAAGCTGGATACGATACCGGCTTTTTCTTCACCAAAAAAATATCGAAGTCGCGTGTAATCGATAGTTATTCTTCATCTTATCGGCGCCGATAAATTCTTTGTTCTTTCTTCCCCCGTGTTTTTGAATGAATAACCTGTTGAGGATCAGTGGGGGAGTGAGTGGAAGAGCTTCTCGAATCAAATACACATATGCGCAAGGCATGCATGTGATCCTGAATCGACTCAATGGGGATATGCTTGTTAAATATCTTAAAAATGCGCAAATAGGAACCCCCTTTCCCCCGATTTTTACCAGGATGAAAATAAACGGAGAGACTAAGTTTCCCCGTTTAAATTCACCGCCTATTCGACGGCGACGGCACACGATCATCAATCATATGATGTCCAAGTTCCTCCCCGTCATGGTGAAGTGTGACGCTATTGAAGTCCTCAAAGGGATCCGGCACCGCTTCCCCCGATGGAGTTGTCAGCCCGGAGTCCAGAGGTACCCCCTTGGCCTTTGCCGAGCCGCCGATATCAACACTACCGCTTTCTTTGACATTCCGGAAGTTGATAGTATCGGTTGCTCGGCCTTGGTGTGGTATCATGGGCGGTTTCATGTGGCGAATAAGTGCCCACTGTGTGGTACGGAAGAAAGGATGAGTTTTCACGTCCGAAGCACCTGCGCGTGCTCCTAGTCGGCGGGTTTCGTCTTTGATGAGGAGCTTGCGGATGAGGGATTTGCAAATACTTTTGAAGCAAGGAAGGTTAGTGGTTGGTTGACCTTTTTTTAACATTGCAGCATGAAATTTATGTGCAAACTTACTTCGATATCTGCGGCGAACCTGAACTCTCCGGGAACGGTACTTCATCCCTTAATATGTTGGCAAAGGTTCCGTTGCGACTCTTGCCCTTGAACGGCGTAGTCCCAAAGAGCATCTCGTATATCAAGATGCCTAGGGTCCACCAATCAACGGCGCTCGTATGTCCATCACCCTTGATAACCTCCGGTGCGATATATTCCTCCGTGCCTACGAACGAATTCGTTCTGAAATCGGCGATACATGACTTGGTATCTATGGTTGGTAAAGACGTGGGC